ATGCTGTGTGAATGTGTGTGAAAGGGTGAATGTGGCATGTAGTGTAAAAGTGCTTTGAGTGGTTGGAAGACTAGAAAGGTGCTATACAAGTACAGGTCCATTTGCCATTTACCACATACTACTTTAAAAGTCAGGTTTTTTTCAAATAAGTTACTGATTCTTTTAGTTCAGTTTCAAAATTTCCCAAATACAAATCAACTTGATTTGAGAATTTTAAGGCAATGAGCTACACTAGAATCAAGCAAAGATCGGCTTCTAGAAATGTTTTGTTTGATTTCATATTAGAAACTCAAAAGATAAACCGACCACACAAAACTTTGTGTCACTTGAGAGATATTTTCTTTGGCGCAGGTGTAGTCAGCATTTCAGAAACCCTTTTTGGGCCACTGTACACTGAAGCTTGTTATTAACTCTGACATTTTAAATGTTCAAACATTTTATATGAAGCCCATATGTTACTCGAAACTGTAGACACTGACATTGGCGCAGTTGTGTATTTAATTACAGAAAAGAAACACAGTGTTACTACTGTAGAGTGTCTACTCAGTGGTATTATTAAAGCTCCAATATTTTTTATGTTAACATTACATTGTTGTACGTACGATGGCCTGGTGGTCTAAAACAAATACCTTGTAGTTGCAAAGTGGCTGATCTGAATCTGGCTGACCTTTGTTGCTCATCATTATCCTCCCCTTCTCCACATTTCCTGATAGTCGAGTAAACTGTCAGTCGACGAGAAGAGTCTTAGTTGACACACTTTTTATTAGTCAGATATTCGCATACATTTTTTTTAGCAACACACTGGAGCTGCGGCTTGTCACCAGGACAATTGTTGCAGCACAGACCCTTTCTCTCATAACACAGCGCTGCTGCAGGTGCTAACTGCTAATAGGGGCAACAGACCTGGGCTGACACTGGGACCGAATACAGTCTCTGACACCATCAGAGGACTAGACACACTGTTCAGGTGGAGGACGGAGAAGGAAAGGCATGAAGGGAGAGGAGTGACTTTGTAGCAAGTTAATTTGTAACAGTCAACGTTATGCATTATCCATTGTGTTGATAAGCCTGTGAGTACCGGTATAAATCTTTTTGTGAAGTTCCATGTTATTAATAAATGAACTAAATGTTCACTGTCCTTGCTGGTTGTTCTGACACATTCAGAATTCATAATTGCTTTTTCCGTTATTGTTTAAGAGGCAGCTGTTAAAATATATATGTTCAAATAATTTAATTAATATAATAAATGTTCGACAATCAGTTAACTATTAACTATAGGCTTTATTTACAACTACTAGTTTATTGGAAAAATCTTAAATTAGTGACAGCCTTAGACTTTATACTATCAAATAAAACAGAAATGCCAAGTCATCTTAAAAAGACAGCATTGAATCAAACAATGCTGATTCAATGCTAATAAAAAAAACAGCTAGAGACAAACTCACAGAGAATCAATCACCAATGAGAATCACCAATTCTTGAACTTTCAAAAGTGCTTTACAATAGAAAAAGTACAAACAATTTAAAAACAGTATTAAATTTATAAAGCACCGAGCAAAAGGAAGTATGAGTAAAATACAACAATATTAAATAACCAATAATCAATTCAAATACAAGTTAAGAGAAAAGGAGACTGAATATTAGGGTGGGTGGGGGGCGCTAATTTGCTCTGTGTTCGTTAGATGTTACTGTTATGATAAATGATAATATGTCAGGACTGTAGGTTTGGCTCCTTGTTATAGAGGCTTTTTCCTGGTAAAAATTTAGGGGCAAAAATCAATTAATGCAGCTTTAATGTGGATACAGTGATCAGACATTCCACGGGGGACTTGCACTGTAAGTACAGGAAATCCTGTTTCTTGCAAGTCTGGATTAAATTCATTGATAAATATCCGTGGAGGCGTAGTATTTTACAGACAGATTTGCGAAATAAGCACATTATATAATTATGCCTTTCAGACAGCAGCTCTACATGAGAGGTAGGTGGTCTGTGTTTCTCAATTTAGGTGGTGGTGGGCATTCAGTACACAAATACATCTCTGATTGCTAATCCTATTATTTCTTTGCAATTAGTCCAAGGGGTTAGGCAAATTCTGCACTGCACACAACAAAAGCTTCTGAAAGCCGGGCATGAAATATGCGCAGATCATCTGCACTCAATCAACACAAAGCACACACCTCATTCTTCTCTGATGAGCCCCTTGACAAGTAGGTGGTGACAGGAATATGCTTGAAGCACTAACATGTTATTGACTTAGAAGAATTACCGACAACAAAACCCCTATCAGTGGAGGTTTTACCTCAGGCAGAGGAAATCGAATCTGCCTCCACGTAACGAAAGGAGGCATCCAAAAAAAAAAAAAAGTTTAGTATGATATGATATGATAAGGTCAGTTTTGTGACTATAATTATGTTTATATTAGGTATTATTGTATGTACCAACACATAAAATCTGATTAAAATATGTATTTAAATTGAATACGACAACAAGGCTGGTATTATTATTTTTTAATCGCTAGGCCTGTGATAAATGAAACAGGCACAGAATGAAGCAAAGCAACATCACAGGATGTAAGTAATAATACATAGTAGGACTCCAGTCTTTATAAAGCACTGTCAGAAAGGTTTAAGAGGGACACTGGGGTAGACATGTCTGTGGTTAAGAAAAAGCCTAACATGTGAACGCAATGTCCTCGTTTCGGTTCTGGTGGCCACGCCCTTTTTTTTTCAGGCAACAGACAACCAATATTTAAGTTCTTATAGTGAGAAGGTCTCAGAAGGATGGAAAAGGTATTGGTGGTGTTTAGCCAGGCAACCACACTTGATTGAGATTTGAGAAACATGAGCCACATCATCAACCTGTTATAATGAGCATTTTCAATTTTGCACAAAAACAAACAGGTGTAATTGACGAAAATGAAAAGTAAAATACTGTATATATATTATACATTTTCACATTTAGTGAAAAATTCGGCAGATCAAAAACACGTAAGACTTACTGGAACACATTTTTCTATCATCCTCCCTCTAAATTTCACTGCTTTACAGGAATGTTAACTATTCTGAGTATTGGAATGAAAAGTTGCAACAAAACATAATAAATGTACTTTTGTGGAAGACAGTTTAGGTAAAACAAACCGCAGTATAATAAGGACAGTCTGAGTAATTTTAGAAAAAGAAGGAAAACTGTGGCAAAAAAGGGGCCTTTGACATCAGTCACATTCATTTTTTTAACTAATGAGACCTCCCAGAATGCATTGGTGTCCAAACCTTGTAAAGCAGTTTGTACACATTTTGTTGGCAGAATAAGCCCATTAGAACATAATCTTTGCATACAGTTTGTCACTTCAGGTTCCAACTTTTTTAACAGGCTTGAATGTAATATATTCATGCACTCTGCCAATAAACGTCATCTGTCATAACGTAGATCTCATGTGCTCAACAATTTTAAAAAATCTGAAGAATATTTTGCCCTTCCATTTTTCCCTCAAAAGCACCTAGAGCAAAAGCTTTCACTCAAACATGCTTGTAAAAGGGTTTCCATTTCATTTTGTAACAGCCCCAGGGAAAGGCTTTGATGACTCAAGAAAGCTTTCTTTTGTTCTTTTAAGGTGTCAGGAACCAGGAGGAACTGTGGGCAGAAATGTAAAATGCATTAATTATAGGTTTAGTTTTTACCTCAGAATTGAGGATGTTGAATTGGCATGTTTATACAGTAGCCCAGAAGGGACAAACCAAACATTAGCTCTAGATAATGGCGTTTTGTGTGTGTGTGTGTGTGTGTTTCTCAGCCACCATAATGTCTCCTTTGAGCTTGGAAGGGGAGGGTGAGGCGACGGAGTTCCAATCTGCAACTAAACCACTAGATGCCACTAAATTCTACTTACTGGATCTTAAATTGTCCTGTTGCACATATGTAGCAAACCAAACATATAAAAGTAAGTGGCATACCAGTCATGTCAAATAACTCATTGAAGGTTCTGACGTTTTATTTTCTCTCTGTTTTAAGTTATTGTTCATGTCACAATGTACAGTTTGTTATGTCTTAAAAATGCCCATGGCTCCATGGATTCTATGATACACACACACACTGACTCATTAAGTTACTGAGTCACTCATTCAGTTAGTTACACACACACACACACACACACAGACACTCACTCACTCACTCACACACTCACACCACACGCACAAAAGGGGAGGGCACAATTTCACAGTCCAAAGGTTTTTCAGTCAAATCATTTTATGAATTGAATTTGTAAGTGTACAAGTGCCACCTACTCAGAGACAATGTTTCAGGTTCATTTGATACTTAATCTAATAATGCATATGCGGACTGTTTTGCTACAGACACTCATGCTTCATTTCGTTTTGTATGAATGATTTAAAATGTATTCTTGAAGCAGAGATTAGAACACTGCAATGTTAGTTATGTGTATACTTATGTGTGCCTGCGTAAAAATAATAAAAAAAACAGATATAAATGTCCAGTTAGGGACATAAATTGTTCTTAATTCACGGTAATTATTATTATATCATTATTGCATAGCCTCAAACGTATGGGTAGCAATGGGTTAAATGCCTAGTAAAAGCACTTGAGCCAGGCGATACACTCACTATTGAGCAACACGCACAGTGAAACTCTGAACCTGTTTTCTTGTTTGATCTGTTTATATTGGCAGTAGTGGATTTGAAGTGAACCTCTTCACATTGCGGCTCGTCAGAGGGCGGCTCTTTGACTGCTCTTTACGCATCATTATAAAGCCTTAACTCCCTCCCTCTGCGCGCTGTGCCGCTCCGCTGCTGTGAGCCCTCAGTGTCTGGATCTGTGTTGTAGATAGATGGGCTAGATGCCACACGCCATTAGCTTACAGGTTGCAGAGGTTAAAAGTTTGATTTCCCATTTTTTGCCGTTCTTCTTCTTGTTGTTTTGGGGGCTTTTTTCTCCTTTGCTTGGATACCGCTGACTTAGGCATTGGATATGTGCACACAGGATGATGACAACCCCTTTCCTCCCCGTAGAAGTAAAATAAAATAGGCTTTCGCACATACTGGATTTACTCCTGCCGTTCCATATGAAGAAGTCAAAAGTAAGTGATTGATTTTGTGTGTTTGTTGTTTTTTTTATTTGAGGAAATAAACAGTTTGCTTTCCGGCGTGATGTGTGGGAGCCGGGACACGCTTTCTGAGGCTCTCGAGGAGTCAAAGTTAACCAGAAGCCTGTTAGATTCGACACTTTTTAAATTCCCTTCATATTATTCTCAAACATTGTGCAGTTTAGAAGAGAAACAGAGTGCTTTGTGGTCATTAATTGTATGTAAGTGCGAGCAGGAACAGAGTTGTTCGGTAGCGCTTCCTCTACTGCGGTGTACGTTAATTCCCTAGCTTCTTGTGGGGGCAAGGTGTTAAACCTGCTTTCCTCTCGCTTCCTCCAAAATGCAATTTAACCAGTTCAGTTTACGCAACGTGTGTTCATCCACGGCTTTCTTATTTTCATGTATTTATTTGTCATTTTTTGGAAGAGCAGCCCTCCTAAAGCCTCCCCGATCAATAAGTTTGTATTTGCGGCGCCAGTCTGGCACAGCCTATCCACGTCTGAGACGGTTCGCACCTTGCGTAACGGTCACTGAGACCTATTTAGTTTTATTCTTGATATGACTTGAGATGAGTTTTAATCGGGGAGAAGATAGAATTACTTTACACCTTTTTTTAACCTGCAGAACAGAGCTCTTTATGCGTAAAGCCGAACAGGTAACTTACTGACTGTCTTTTAATAAGGACAGATTTTCGAGTAGAAGTTGCTTTTCTGAACAGGCAACTGCTATTATATATATGTAATTTATCCGCCTTTCCAGGGTGACACAAATCTGTATCGAGTAAATTGAACTGTTGTTCATTAGGAATAATGTGAGGTCATGGTGTCAGTCTCTGCTTCTCTGAATATACCCTATTTATGTTTGTATTGGTGCTTCTTTGCCTGGTTGTGGCCTGAAACTGATAAATTCATATATATAAAAAATGAAACTACCTTTTCGTCACCTTACGTTCACCGGTTCAGGGTGCCCGATCAGGTTATTGAGGAGCCTATTTTACAGCGAGAACGGCCGCTGTCCGTCTGTAAGAGCGCTGCTGTGCATGCAAGCCCGGACACCATCATGTATGGCCTCTGGCATGGCTGACACAAAAATGTACAAATTGACGACTAAAGGTTTTTTTTAAGGCCATTCGTTTTACTGTAGCAAAGAAAAATCCATACATTACGCACAGGCCTGCAGTGTAACAGCAGCTGTCACCTTGATCCCTGTGGTGTATACATGGAAAGTTTGATCCTCCATCTATCCCAGCAGGTGACCACCTTTAGGGAACCAACCACTGTTAAACAGTGAAATGTGAAAACTCTCTTACATAGATTTAATGTGTGTGTGTGCGGGGTGTGCGTGCGTGTGAGTTGTGCGTTTAAGAAGGCGTGTAAACTAAATTTAGGCAGGTTTAACCTGCATTACATCCCACAGGCTGTTTGACTGAACCCTCAGGTTTTGGACTAATCTGTGCCTCACTCTGCTTGGCAATTTAAGCTCATTTTAATCACGATATCAGAAAATAAAAGGACACGAAACATTAATATTGATATTAAAGGGTGTGTATGCATGTGTGTCTACATGCATCTGGGGATACAAGTCTTTGATGTTTCCTGGAGGAAGGGTGGGCATTTCTGCATCCCTGCTGCTGTTAATCACATTCTGAGCAGAGTTTCCTTTATTCTTTTTTAATTAAGTTATACAGTAAGTTGCGCTGTGTGCCTGACTGAATTAATAGACACCTTTCATCTTTTATTTACTCTCCTTGCCACAGCTCCAGGTATTTCCACTGCCACGTAATCACATGTAGATAATATGTAGAGGGGTTGTCTCAATTTTTATGTTAAAACTGTGATGTAAAAATGCAAAAAACATTTCTAGCTTTTTTCAAGGACGCTATTCCTTTCCTATTTCCATTGGGGATTAGAGTATAAAAAAGGTCATTTATAGCAAATGTAATGATGTAATGATGGTACTATATTCGGTGTAATAAGTTATAACCAAGAACGAAATGGCTTAGATCCACTGTAATGAAAGTGATTGTTAGCAAAAGACTCTCACTCTTAGACAAGCTATGGCACATGCAGTGTATGCATGAGAGAAAGAGGAAGAGCCTGTCTAGACTTTCACACCTTAACAGAACATTTAACACCAGTAGGGAGCGCTAGTTTTCTGATGCCTGCACAGTGTTGGAGGGCTGCACAGGTCTTTGGGCTGTGGGAGGTTTAGAGAGAAATCTTGTGTCTGCTGTGCCCTTCTGTCCTCCCTAAAGAGACACATATTACATGTTAAAGTAATTTTTGCACTATTTACTGGTGATCTTTGTGATGATATAAAGCTTGCTGGTCTTTGACTGACTTCATGCATTTCCATCCAGGTGGAGTATTTTAAGTACCAGGATGATTTAGACGTACACATGGTCTAGCCAGAGGAGACAAGTTCTAACACACGCTGTAAATCCACAGGCCAACTGCTCACATAATGTTGGCTCAGTTTGCTTCTGCTTTATTGTTGAGGCCTTTGACCTGGCCTGCTGAGGACCAGTGTGTAGCATGAGGGCCCCCTTGAGTAAACTAAATCTTTTTTTTCCTTTTTTGATAGATTGATTGTCAAATAATTTTTTTTCAGCTTGTGAAAGATGCAGGTAGGTGCAGACCAGAAGGCAAAGAATGAAAAGAAAAGACAGACCGCTCTGCATCATTAGATTTATGTCACATGTTCTGGGAAGCATACAAGAGGTAGGCGTTGTAGTGATGTGTCAGAATTACACTCTGCAGTAATCACAGCTGAATAAATTTAGAAAATAAATCAAGACATGGCATATTTGAGTATAAAAACCAGATGCAATAAAGACTTAAATCTGCTAATCAAGGCTAATGATTTGTTTTAATAGTTTAGTAATCAGATAACATCAACAGCAGGAAAGGAAACCCAAAGCACTGAGTTAGTGCTACCATGCTGTGCAGTGTAAGTACACTCAGCGTAGAGCGCGCATTGTGTTGCAGAAACAAATAATGAGTACTCCGTCTGAAGTGGATCTTCTCATCTCAAGTAAGCATTCTCCGTCGCATCTGTGAACTTTAGCTCTCACTGTCAATAATTGTATCAGAAGCTCGCATCAGTCATGAATGCTTATTTGGCAAGGCTGCATATCTATGACTCATGTTTTAATCACCGCTCATACCAAGCTGAACATCTTTCATCAAGTTATTCACTTTGTGTTCAATGAGATCGCTGCCACATAACTTAATGTCAGCTAAACTACTTGAATGGTAATGTTAAATGTTAAATGTTTTCACATCTGAGACGCTGTTTTGTTTTTTTGGCTGTATCAAATGCAACAACACATAGATGTCTTGGGTATTATTTTACACACTTTTTTTTCTCTTTGATTTAGATTGCAAAGCAGGCACAGTTCAGCACCATTATGGACAAGCTAATTAAGAGCCCCCGTCCTTTGCACACAAAGCTAATGTTTGACCTAAAATCCAGGAGTCTCACCTCATTTGCACCATCTAGGTCCAAATAGGACAAACTTAATACTTGGGCTGTAAATTTAATTAAAAAAGTACAGCAAATCATGTAGTCTATCTAAACAAACGTGTGTTTCCTAAGATGTTTAGTGGAAAGTGCCATAATTAGCTCTAAAACTTTGTGTAGTCACATTCTTAAATGTTGGCTTTCCCCTTGTGGAAAAAAACAACACTTTTTTTTCGAACTGTAGAGCATGCCGAATCCATAAAAGCAACAACAAAGCAAACATGGTTTGAGTTACAGGATTTTCTTCTGTCACAGAGCCCAGGCCTCGTGTCTCAGCATTTGATGTCTTATTTCTGCAGCAACAAGACATTCAGTCTGCTGATCCAGAGAGAAGCCCGTCTGCAGTCACTGGACTACGTGCCCAGTCTAACCTTAACCCTGGCTCAAAGGAGACGTGTCTTTGGGTGAATGTATTTTGCAGGAAATCTGCTGATACGCCTTCTTGGAAATCCTGGTGTTTATCTGTGGTTGATTTCTCTAATGTACGAGTAAGGTGTGGCAGAGGTTTCAGAATATAGCCCAAAAGCCAGCCAGGAGTTAAAAAACACACAAGGAAGTTTGAGAATTTAAAAACTATTATTTTTTCTATCATAACCATTAACTGCTATGCTAAGGTCTATCAGTTAGGAATTCCTGCAGGCTTTTTCAACCTGATGTGCAAGCTTGAAATGACCGGTTGGATTGGTTTGAAGATTTATTAGATCCAGGTTCAGGCTTGTACAAAAGGCACAGTGAATAGGTGTCATGCAAACATTAGCGGGAACATTATGTGGATATGTATGTACCCGGTTTTCATGAAGTGTGTACAAGAAGTCATAGGGATTTAATTGTCTGAGGCAATTACCAGCACATAACACTAAACCCTCAAGACTGTGTCTCAAATCACTCCCTCTTTGCTACTTAGTGTGCTGTATTACATTTCTAACATAATATTTGAGTTGAATATTTGATGATTAGAATTGATATTCTTATTGTAGCCTTGCACACTTCATGAGTTTCTCAAATCTCAATTGATTATTAATATCACTATGGCGTACCCCTTAAATTGTCTACTGCTGTATGTAGTAAATACTGAACAAGGGAAAGATAGGTATGTCCAATTCTTTCAGACTGCAGCTCTGATTCAAAAGCACGAGCAACACTGAACATTTATCAAGAAAAAACAGTTTCCGGTTTTCTGTTTTATGTCATTTTAAAACATTTGGGTTTTGGCACGTTGGTCTGATGGTCACTGTGGGCTCTGGGAAATGGAACGGAACAAAATGTAATGGACATTTTCCACAGTTTCTTAGACTAAACCAGTAATCAATTCCTCGTAATGCACAATGTAAATAAAAATAAAATGCGTTTTTGTTGCTGCTCTAGCCAACATTCCTTCTGTGTTCGCAACAAGAATTCAGGACATAAATACAGCTGCTACTTTGAAAGCAGCACTTTACCACAGATATTCTAAGTCATATTTGATGAAGGAC